AAGAAGCTGCAATTACACTGCAGTCATTGCCACTTTAATATGTCTTTCCTTCATGCCCCTGCTTTGTATGGTTGAATAAACCCTTGCTGGGTCACTATTTAATTTGATATGGTCCCTCTCAGTAAAATGATGGAGAAAAGATGAATTAAGGCTCTGTGCTAGTCATTATCAATCATGGTTTGTGTGCATTACTTATGGCTCACAGTGCTTTTTGACATTAGCCCTCTATAACCTCTCTCTTCATGTTAATGTTGTCTGGAGGTCCTTTTACCCGATGTAGCAGAGGTTATTTATGTAGGTGGTGTTTCCAGGGGGTTTTAAAAGGTCAGCATGATCTCCTGAGAGACTCTATTCACAAAGAAAAGGCTGGCAGAATGTAACTACAAGTTTTCAAATTGTGACTTTTAAATTTTTTTTTTTTAAGGACTTGTAATAGAGAGGTGTCGGAATTTCAGTTACGCTTATTAAAGTACCTTTTTGGCAAAATAGCCTCTACTACATACTACTGCACTTAAAACCAGTATTTGCAGTGTATATGTGAGGAAACACCAAGCTACTATAAGAAATTCTGTATTTTACCATGTAATGAAATATAAATTGTGTTGCAGATACCTTTTAAATGGCTTGTATCAGTGTAGGCTTGCATGAAACAGAACAAGGCAGCAGCGCTGAGGGTTGGGCAGACTTTATGTTGGTGTTGCTTGTGTTGGTGAGGTCGTCAGTGACAGAATCCGAGTGAAGTCCCGTGGGATGGCCTGCTGGAGAAGTGGATGAGGATTGACAACAGGACTCTTGGTTTCATACACTTTGGTCACACAAAACCTTAAGCTAATTGTACATGCCTAAGCCCATGGCAGCAGGCAGGGCACATCCAAGGGAGAAAGGGATCTGGCTGATGCCATTGCGAGGCTTCTCACCGCCATCTTAAAAGGGAGAGGTTCCTGAGGGCTGGGAAAACACAAATGTCACAGCCGTTTTCAAGAAGGGTCCCAGGTGGCCTCTCCTCAGTCATGGGAAGGTGATGGACCAAATCTTCCCGGACAACCAGTTGCATGGACGAGGGGAGTGCTGTGGATATTGCATGCGTGGACTCTAGCAAGGCCTTTGATGCAGTCTCTCACAGTACCCTTGAAGCCCAATTGGTGACGTGTACTTGGGTAGGTGGAGTATAAAATGGCTGGAAAGTTGGCCAGCCACCAGTCTCACGGGGTTGTGAACAAAGTCCAGCTGGCAGCTGGTTGCTGGTGGTGTACCTCAGGGGTCGATGCTGGGATCTGAACTGTTCAACAGCTTTGTTAACAGCTTAGACAACAGGATGGAGCACACACTCAGCTTTGCAGATGGTGTCAAGTTGGGGGAGCAGCCAGTATGCTGGAGGGCAGAGCTGCTGTTCAGAGGGACTTCAGCAGGCTCAAGAAATGGTCTGATGGGAACCTCATGGAGTTCAGCAAAGGTTAATGCCAAGCCTTGTCCCTGGGGTGGGATAACCTCATAAAGCACTACAGGCTGGAAGTGACTATACAGTAAACAGAAAAGGGCCCAGATCTTGTTGGACAGCAAGTCGAACATGAGCCAGCACTGTACTTTGGCAGCAGAGAAGGCCAACAGCATCCCAGGATGTGTTGGGTCCCAGAAAGGGACTCCTCCGTCTATTCAGCACTCCAAGGCCATGTCATATCTCCAGTGTCTTGTTTGGGAGCCCCCTGTAGCAGACAGACGTGGGCAGACTGGAGCAAGCGTAGCAGAGGCAGCTCTGGGGTCGGGATGTGGAAGGAGAAGCCAGGGAGCCCATCTGTGCCGCCGGGAGAGGGAGGTGGGGGGGACCACGCTGCTGGCTGCAGTGGCCAACTGGTGGCTCTTGAGGGATGGGGCCAGGTGCCTCTGGGCGGTGCGCAGCAACAGGGCAAGGGGCAGCAGTCATCAGTTGCAGCAAGGGAAAATCTGACTAAATCTGGGAAAAGATTTCACCATGAGGGTGAACAACAGAAGAGGGGCCCAGAGAGGCTGTAGAATCGCGGTCCTTGGAGATGCTCAAAACCCAACTGGATATGGCTCTAAGCAACATGATCTAGTTGGCCCTGTTTTAACGTTACATCTTTTGAAGTACCTATTGTGTTGCCAAAGAGGAAAATAGAAAATGAAAAATGACAGCTTGATTGAAGGCATCATCTTGGGCCACGTCATAGGTTTGGACTATTTAAGTTCTATATATTGTTCTTCAGTAATTAAAAGCTCAATATAGTTATTTTTAAGAATGAAATGACAGTGCTCCCCTTTTTTGATTGAGATTAGATGTAAGCCACTTTTTTCATTGTTTTACTTTTGAATAAATGTTGATGTTTTGCCAAATCTCAACTTGTAACTGTGCTGTCATGATCATCACAGACACTGTGAATAGAAGAGACCTTACTGGATTATGGGATTTGTAGTTCAGCCATGAAGGCCGGAGTATTGGGAAGATTTGGTGTGTTAGCGCTCCAGCCAGCCATTTCCCAACTGACTAGAGTGACTGCTGATCTACAGAAGAGGTTATTTTTCAGTGAAAAAAAAATATTTACAATAGATATTTATTCACAGTCACCACAAGAGTTTTTCTCAGTAGAGCTGCAGTTTAAGAAAAATCAGAAATTGGGCTTTCCCAAGACAAAAGTAATAAGGATTCAGCGAAATTAGTTCCCCTCTGAATGTATCCGTCAGCTGGATTTCAGTAGTGAATTGTTAAGCTTTCCCCCCTGAATGCGACCTTATTAGACCTAGGCAAATATACTTGCTTTCAAAAGCACAAATTCTTAAAAGATTTAAGCACCTATAAGCATCAACAAACAACTGATGTTAATTACTAAATATCTCAAAAACACTTATTCCCCCCGTCTGTAGTTAGAGAATGGATGGATGCAGTCAGCTGCCAGGAGTCATCAGGTGGATCTGCGGGGGGGGGGGGGGGGGGTAGGG